ACCACTGATTTGTAGTCGTGTCCTCTTTTGGAAGGCCAAACAAAGTAGTTTCGCTTTCACAACGAAACAGTGCCACACACCGCGGCCTACAGTGAGCAGAGGCTGGGGACTAGCATGAGGAACGGCGGGAGGGTTAGAGTGAGCGGAGGCGGTGGGCTTGAGAACGGCGCGGCTGGCGATTTCGACGAAGGAGTGTCCGGAAGGACATGTGACGACCCCGGGCTGGACTCCGCTTCGTCCACGGTGAAAGCCGATCCGGTGATCCACAGCGCAAAGTTGATGTATTCCCTCAGCGACCAGCACAGATCAGCTCTAGGCATGACGAAGCGGATATCGTCCTCTTTTGGAAGACCAAACAAAGTAGTTTCGCTTTCACAACGAAACATACAGCGACTCCACGACATGGCGGCGGCGGCAGCAACAATACTACAGCGAGAATAAAAGTTACGCCTTCTTTCTTTGCGTGAACATTATGCGAATCTTCCCACAGAGCGACGTAGGTATGTTGGGGCGTTTTAAAACGAGCCGTTTTAGGTAGGCGTGGCTGACTCTTAACTTTTATAAAGAATATCTCTTTGGATTTGAGACTTTAGTCTTTGCAACTTTACAGATCTTCTTTATGCACCAAGAGCTTGTAACACTCCAAAGAGAAAGGAAAAATTGAAATCGCATCATATGACCCCTTTAAATAATAAATACTGGGCACAATTCATTCTCACTGAATTTTCCGCCATGCATTTAAAAGGAAAAATCAAAATGTTGTCATCATTTACTCATGCTCATGTCCTTCCAACTTTGTATGGCTTTCTCTCTTTCGTTTTGTTGAACACAAAAGAAGATATTTTGAAGAATGTTTTTTTCCACAGAAGAAAGAAAGTCATACAGGTTTGGAATTGACATGAGGGTTAGTAAATAATGGCAGAACTTTCATTTTTGGGGTGGTGTTATTTTATATTTTATATTTTATTATATATATATATATATATATATATATATATACTATTATATTTATTTATACTATTATAGTTCACATTCATATTTTGAATTAGCTTTTCTTTTAATATTTTCTTTCTTTTTCTCTTTTGTTTTGTTTTGTTGCATTTCTAGTAAGATTTAGTAATTTTTATTAGTTTTAGTTTACCTTTTTAAATATGACCATTTAAGGTTATTTTTTTAAATGTCATTTTTAGTTTTTATTGATTTCCAGTAAGTTATTTTAGTTCTTTAACTAATTGTTGCCAAAACAACACTTATAATTTTCATATTTAATAACTTGTGCTTATATTTTCTGACTTATTTTTATAACATTTATAGAATTATTCAATGTACCATGACTAGTATAAAACATCAAAGCAGCATTAAAATGTTCAGCAGGCACTGATAGTGTTGAGGAAGGGCCAGCAACTGGTATGATTTCTGATTTCTTATTTCACTTTGTGGCAATAGTCACTGGCACAGACTCCAGCGCTGTCCGTCTGTCTGTATCAGTTTTGCATTGCAGTGGCTTGTTTCCAGGTTTGAGCCTCTCAGCTGGAAGAGGAGATACTGGCCCCACTGACCTGCACTATAATCCATCTTTGCAGACATGCACTGATCATGTTTTCCCCCCATCTTCAACTGCCGGTCAACAGGCACAACTGACATTTCTTCTGGCTTGCTGGGACGCACAGTGGAAGGACTTTGGGCATTGACCTTTGCCTCCAGCACGCGTGTAAGACACAAACTCTTGCGCCCAACAACTGAGATGCAGATTTGTCACATTCTCTAAGCAGACAGGAATTTCACAGCTGAATACTCAAAGAGACGGACCAGCCGCAACGGAACCATCAAAGGCCTCTGACGCTGAGTTTTATGTAATCTGCTCACCAGGATCCTGTTGCAGCACAGTTGGCAGAAACTGTTTGAGGAAATTAACAGCCCGTATGGCCAATTCTTATAATTAACTTGCTCCAACATTATCTTTTGTAAATACTCTGTGCTTTGCTTATACTTGTCATATATCTAGTTTCACTGCTATCCGTGCTAAACAGATATTTTATGGAATTATATCAATATTATTACTGTAAACTATCAACTATTGCCATTATTTCATAATAATTTTACAGTAATAGTTCAGTGTTTTCCTGTGAAATCAATCGAGGATAAGTCCGGTACCACTTTATTTTATAGTCCTGTTCTGCATGTACATACTATGTACATATTATTGTGATTACAAAACTTTGTAATAACCAGGTACTAACCCTGAACCTACCCCTAAACCTAACCTTAACCCATTTAGTTACCTTATATTACCCATTCCTTTTTAGGTAAGTACATTGTACATACACATATACGATAAAGTAAAGTGCAAGCATAAGTCCTTATAAAAAAATTAATTAACAAGTATTCGATAAACTCACATAAAGTGAAATATAATGAATAGCAAACCTCAAGTGCCTGATTGTTTATATCAGGGGTCTCCAAACTCAGTCCTGGAGGGCCGGTGTCCTGCAGAGTTTGGCAGGACACCAGCCCTCCAGGACCGAGTTTGGAGACCCCAAGTTTATATCATCGTAACTTATATTTTAAACTATATAATCACCCAACTATATATTTTAAAGTTGGATATATACATATAATACACTAATGTAAAGCAATAGGCTTATACAGCAAATCTTGGCTCTGTGATTGTCTATATCATTGCAAAATGTAAACTATATTACCACCCAGCTGTAATCTGCAAAATGCACATACAAGGCATGAAAATATTAAGATATTATAAACATTCACATCATGATTTTCTGTAAAGCGGCTTAAAAAAAGTGTGTTGTGAAAGCGCTATAAGAATCAATTCGGCTTGACTTGACAAACACACTAGCAGCACATTGTGACTTCCTATGATAGTGGTTTAGTGATATGAATTTTTAAATGGCTTATGTCTATATCATTATGTAGTAAGCATACATAATACTGTTAAATGACTGCAGATTAGTTGTAAAGAGTATTGTTGAAATTAAAATTTTTAAACAGTTATATTACACATTCAAATTTCATTAAAAAACTTTCAAACAGAAATATGAAAATGGTTAGAATTATATTTCTGATATCAATGCCCTTTAATAATGTATGCATTTGGGATGTGTAGAAAAGTTATTCAGAATTAATCAAATATTTAATCTGTTTGTTTTATATTTGGAACTTGGAAGTTATTATATGTATATTGAATTACTGTAAAATATTTTTTTTTTAAAGCAACCACCACTCACATATAATATACAGTAAAAAAAAATAAAAAATAGAAATGAACAGTGTATGAAATATATTTACCTTGGGCTTCACAGCTGTGTTGAAATAGCATACAGCAGCCACAGAGCAGCAGAACTACAGTGAGTTTCATGGTGCAGGGCAATCTGAAACAATGAGACATTAACACATTAACATTCATGAAATTATCATTCATTCAATCACAAACTTTTGAACAGTTTGCTATTAACATATATTATGAATATACCTACTGAATATAAGTATAAAGCAAGAAATGAGGCACTAAAAACAAGGCATGCTTGCATAGCATCCAACATGAGTCACAACAGCCCAGCACTTTCACTCTTCCAAACATCGAACAGAGCAACACCTGACCATGGACCAGCCAACAGACACACTTAATAATTCAACTTAATACTTAATAATTAAAAGCACTATGTGAATCTTTCATGGTGAACATTTACAAGACCGCATTACTCTACTGCTTTTTTTTTGTTGTTGTCTATTTACACATCTTGCAACTTTGCTGAGCTTAGTGCTGACAGAAAAAGTGTTATTTTGTGTCTGTTTGTTGCTCTTATGCCTAACCTGCACTCTGTTCCACACCTCCTTAAGCAATACTGTTTAATATTCCCATTTTATGCTAATTTACAAGACCATAACTTTATTTTTGGGTTCTGCTAGAATACATTTACATTATTTAATGTAAAACAAAACAACAACACAACACATGCTGTACATTGCAGCAGCAGCTCTTTTCACCCTCTGCTTGAAACACACAGATTTAGTTCCTGTCTCTTTAATAGAGATAAAACAATATGAAAATTTCATATCCTGATTATAGTGACCTAAATGATCACAGTTATCAATATTATCACAGTATTGTTAACAAATTGTCAAAAACCAACAAATCAAATGAGCATTACTGTGCACATATTGTTCGCATAAACTTTTAAATAATAACATTAAAATTATGGTGTCACGGTGTGCCTATGGTGAGGAACGAGGAGAAAGCAGGAGAATCATAATTAACAGTCTTTATTGACATCTAGGGACTCACACGTAGGACATGGGATCGACGTTCAAGACAGCACACTAGACATGGAAACACACAGGGCTTAAATCATGGAAACTAATGAGGGAACACCTGGAAACAATGAACATGATGACATGAGGGAAAAACACCTGGAAACAAATGAACACAATCAGGGCAGGAACAGGAAGATCAAATAAGGGCATAAACATAACATGGAGCAAGTGGGGGAGGAAAACACAAGACACAGGACTGACATTACTCCCCCAGAAAGTGCGTCCACGTGCCCCACAACATCCAACGAGGAGTGGGGGTGGGCACTCTGGAGGCCCCTCAGGACAGACACGGGACGGCAGGCCTCCAGAGTGGTACCCGTTCCGGGACCCATGGCGGATCAGGCAGTTCGGGGCGTCATGGCGGAGCAGGCAGACTAGGAGGCCATGGCGGAGCAGGCAGTTCAGGATGCCATGGCGGAGCAGATACTTCCCCCTCCAAAAACATCCTTGGGGAGAATATCGTCTTTAGAGGCCCTCCGTAGGCCTAATTCGGGAACTGTGGCCCTCCCTGGGCTGGACATGGGGACTGGAGCACTTTCTGTGCTAAAATCGGGGACTGGAGCCCTCTCTGGGCTAAACTCGGGGGCTGGAGCCGACACTGGAGTGAGCTCTGGGGCTGGAGCCGACACTGGAGCGAGCTCTGGGGCTAGGATGAGGGCGGAGAACATTGTTTTTCTCCTCATCCTCCTCCTTTGGTTAGAGGTGAATGGCGTGGCCGGTGGGCTTGACATCGGCACAGCCGGCGGGCTGGAGAGAGCCGCGGCTGGCGGGCTTGACGGCGGGCTGGTTCTGGCTCAGGCCCGGACACTCCCCAGACACTGGTAGATCCCTTCCCTCAAGCATAGTCCTTTGGTGTCTGGGGG